TAAGGGGAAGGTGGAGTAGAAAGGGAGAGCCAATCACAGTGATCTATCTATAACCCCCTCCCTGGGGGACAGACAACAGAAAGTGGGTAAAGGGAGATGTCGGACAGTATAAGACATGATAAATAATAAGAATTTATTATTTATAAATGAGGGAGGGGGCACGGGGATGGAGGGGAAAAAATCAGGAGCTAATACCAAGGGCTCAAGTAGAAAGAAAATGTTTTGAGAATGGTGAGGGCAACAAATGTGCTTGACACAGTGGATGGCTGGGTGGTGATAAAAGTTGTACGAGCCCCTAATAAAATGATTTTAAAAATAAATAAATAAAAGCAGAATAAAGTAGGTTGGTTCTGTAACTTTGACACACATGAATTAGTATATTATTCTGGCTTATGATAACTCTGTTTTTCTCTTTCAGGTGAAAATGAGCTCTTCAGCAAGAAGAAAAGGAAAACCAGGCAAAGGAAGTGGCAAGGGGTCTTCTAGAGGAGGAAAAGGAGGCAGGAGTCACAGTAGTAAATCCCATGGGGGTGGCAGCAGCGGTGGTGGCAGCAACAAAAAGGCCTCAATTGGGATTTGGGATGGTGAAGATGACTTTTGTATCTTCGGTGAATCACGGCGTCCATCCAGGTCATTGTACCCTTTAAATGTTCTCATGTGGAGACTCTGTCCATCTCTAATGTTTGGAGCAACAGGTGGTTGAGGGCAGGGAAAGAAAGGTCAAGTTAACTGTTCCTCTTATTTTAAAGCTTGGTATTCCTCCCTTGTATAATCTCTTCTGAAGGTATGAGAATAATGCCCAGCTTTGGTGTGGTGGGTTGCTTGGTTAGGTTTAAATCTGAAGGTAACTGTTAGCTTCTGCCCCATGCGATGAACTGAGTATAATGGCTATTATTGCACTCTGTGTTACCAGGAAAGTAAGCATTGGAAATGATAGAAATGATTTTTAATGTTCCTGGGTATTATAAGTTGATATTAAAATTGAGGTCTAAATATGCACTTTCATGTTGATAAATGATAGATTTTCCAGTCAGATCAGCCAAATCATCGAGACAGTCGTGTATAGCAGTAGGTGCTTAAATATAGCTTAAAATTACCCCAGAAAAGCATATGCAGTGCTGTATACTTTGTGCAATATAGCTTAAAATTGTATATTTTTTGTATACTGACCATAAAACCTAACCACTAAGTTAGATGCAACTCCATTGATTTCCTATACCTCAGAGCTTTGAATGTTCGTTCATCCAGCAAACATTTACTGAGGGTCAAGTAAACACTATCTTTAGCACCAGGTTACAGCAACGAGTAAACTATTGCCCTTGCTTTCATAGGGTGGTATGACCATAAACAAATATATGACATTACACTTGGTAAGTACTGTGAAGAAAAGTAAAGGAGAGTAAAATGATAAAATCCCGGAAGGGCATTGCCATTCTGTGTAGAAAGGTTAGAAACTTCTCTAATAAAGAGTCATTTGAGCAGATACAAGAATGAAGTAACGTAGTGAACCATGCAGCTGTCTTGAGAGCACAACATTCAAGGCAGAGGGAAAAATAAGTGCAGAACCTCTGAAGCAGGGAAGTGGGTGGGCAATGCAGACAGTTCAAAGAGGCAAGGCAGTGTGGGACATAGTAGGTCATTATAAGGACTTGAGCTTGGGCTTTGGATAAGATGGGAAGCCACTTAATGGTTTGCGATCAATCCCTCTGGCCAGGATTCCTATTTCCAATGTACGCCTTTGTGTAAAGTAGAGAATAGTGACCTTTCCTCCGCCCATGTGTAGCCCCACACCAGGATGCAGTGGACGGTGTGGAAATATACTGTCGGGGAGCATGGGTTGAAATCGGGGAGATTAGTTCACAGGCTCTCTCCCAGTGAAGATATCAGATAAACAGACTAGTGTACATGCATGGAGTCCAGGAAAAAGATGTAGGCTAGACAAGTAAATATGTGAGTCCTCTATGAATAAAGGAGTCTTAAAGTCATTAGTCTGGGTAAGAGCCTGTTAGGGAGTGGATATAACTAGTGAAGAGTTTGAGCGCTTTGGCATGCCAGGCTTTAAAGGTACAAGAGATTAAGAGAATCAAATGGGATTGAGAAGGATTTGCAAGTTAAGTAAAAGGAAAACTGCCTATGATTTCTAAATGCCAAAGGATAAAGGTGGCTTAAAAGAGAGAATGATTAGTTTTTAAAAATGTTTCTCATAGATCAAGAAAATGAGCACTGAGAATTCCCCCCTGGATGTGGTGTGGCAATGGTGGGCATCCTGGTTAACCTTAACAAGAAATGCATTGACAGACGTGAGTGGAGAAAGAAATCTCAACTGGATTGTGTTTAGGAAAGGAAGAGGAAAGAAAGAGACAATGATTTAGAAAACTCTTACAATTTTCCTGTAAAGAGGATAGGGAGAGAAATGGGAAAATGGGCAAAGTGGGTGGAGCATGTACAGTCAAGAACTTTTAAAAATACTTTTATTGTGAATTAGGTGAACATTTGCAGAGTAGATGATCACTTTTGTATTCAACAGCGTTTCGAACCTCCCAATGGCTGCCTTGTTTCCATCCTCGTAGCTGGTTCCCTCTGGTTGGAGATTGCCTTCACCTTCACCCAAGTAAACACCTGTCTGCTCTCTCGCCTATGACTCTCCTTCACCCCCCACCCCTGGTAACCAGCAGTCTGTTTGCTTCAGTGTGAAAACTTTCTCTTGATTTTCTTATAACAGTGGTCTCATAATATCTGACCTTTTGTGAGTGACTAATTTCACTCAATATAATGTCCTCTGGGCGTATCTAAGAAAGACTTTTTTTGGTAACATGGTAGACCTTCTCCAGCATGTCTGTAAGCTAATGAGAATTGTCCAAAAAATTGTTAAGCACTGATAATGCAGAGAGGAGGCTAAGTGCTGTGGTGATTTTCTTGAGGAGATGAAGGGGACTGGACCCGTGTACACATACGGGGATTGACAGTAGGCTCGGGTATGGCTCATCTTTAGTAACAAGCAAAGTACATGATGTACAGATACTGGAGATGAGACCAGGATGTGCAAGTTCTTTTTCTCTCTTCCTTCCTCCCTCTTTTTACTAATCAGGGGGAAATGATCAGCACATCCAAATTGTAAGAATTTCTATAAGACCGTTGGCCTGAGCTCTTCAAAAATCAATAGTTATTAGGAAGCATAATAATTAAATGCCACTTTTTATTGAATGTAGCATCAAAAATCTTTACAAAAGATATTGAATCAGTTGGGATATTTGAATATAGATGATACATTATATTGCATTATCGGATCAATGTAATGGTATTCTCAGATTTTCAGAAATACATGCTGTTGAGTATTGAACGATGAAACATAATACGTATTCAGATGGCTCAGTACTATGTGAATCTTCATATGTAGAGGGATAGTGGGTATTTTTGTTTGCATAGGCGTGTGTGTGTGTGTGTGTGTGTGTAGAGAGAGAGAGAGAGAGAGGGTGAAACATATATTTGTGTGTTTGTCCATGTTGTACATTATTAACCTTTGGTGGATCAAGGTAAACAGTGTTTATCATACAAATCAGCATATTTTTCTATTTAAATTTTTTCAAAACAAAAATATCAGGAGAAATGCATTTTAGATGGCATCATGTTTTAAAACTTGCAACTAGATCATTGAAAATCCTAATCAATTCTGTTTTCTCTTTTGTTGTACTATTTTATAAAGGCTAACGTGAATCTTTTCAAAGTTCCAATAATGTGTTGGATTTTATATGCAGATAAATTTTCAGGTATTTTTCACTAGAGTTTTACAAATTTCATAAAATATACCCCCCAAAAGAAGTAAATAAAATTATTTTTATTTAGGACTTGTTAAATAATTAAAAGAGCCCCTAAAATAAATTCTAAAAATGAACAACTGGTGAAATAAATGATGATACAGCTATATCTATCTCTATGCAACCATTTGAAATTATGTCGTGGGAGGATATTTAATCTAAGAAATTCTAGTGTTATTTTGATAAGAAAATAAAGCTATTTATAAAAATTACACATATAGTGCAATTAATTTAAAATTTATATGTATATGAAAAGGAATGATATAATTTAGGGTGGTTTTTCTAAGGAGCCTTGGTGGCAGAGTTGTTAAAACACTTGGCTGCTAACTAAAAGGCCAGTGGTTTGAATGCAGCAACCAGTTTGTGGGAGAAAGACGTGGCAGTCTTGGGGGGGGGGGGGAGACGTGGGAGTCTGTGGGTGAAAAAAAAGACATGGCTGTCTGGGGGGAAAGACGTGGCCGTCTGGAAAAAAGAAAGACGTGGCTGTCATTGGGGGAAAGACATGGCGGTGTGCTCCTATAAAGATTTACAGCCTTGGAAGTCCCCTGGGGCAGTTCTACTCTGTCCCACAGGGTTTCTGTGAGTGGAAATAGATTGGATTGCAGCAAGTTTGGTTTGGGGTTTTTGTTTTCTTTTTTGTTCTTTACTTTTTATTCTTTATTTTAATTTTATAATTATGCAATAATGATAATACAGGTAAATGTTTTAAAAATTGGGACAGATATTCACATGGTAGATAAGACTTTTTTCAGGTTGAATGCGATAGGTACTTGTGTATATGGTGTATTTCTTTTCAAAGCCCTAGCAGGGAGTCATTTTTTACATAGTCCTTTCCAGAGGATTCTTGAGGTAGTGACACCAGCTGTAATGATTGAGAACCGGATCAGGTTCTCTTCAGGAGTACTGAGGTAATGAAGTCCAATGAGTACTGTAGAAAACAGGAGATTCTTGGAAATAGATTTATAGGTTTAGTATTAAGGTAGCAGATGGGCATTGGGCCCCCACTCAAGTACTCCCTCAATGCAAGAATACTTTGTTCTATTAAACTGGCATTCCATGAAACTGGCATTCCATGATGCTCACCTTCCTGACATGATCGCTGAAGACAAAGCGGCTATATGAGCGGATGTGGTGAAGAAAGCTGATGGTGCCCGGATATCAAAGGATATAACATCTGGGGTCTTAAAGGCTTGAAGATAAACAAGTGGCGATTTAGCTCAGAAGCAACAAAGCCCACATGGAAGAAGCACAAAAGCCTGTGTGATAAAGAGGTGCCGATGGATCAGTTATCAGACATCAAAGAACAAAAAATCATATCATTGTGTGCTCACCTCCCTGATACGATCACTGGAGACAAATGGGTGCTTAAGCAAATGTGGTGAAGAAAGTTAATGGTGCTCAGCTATCAAAAGATATAGTGTCTGGGGTCTTAAAAGCTTGAAGGTAAACAAGCGGCCATCTAGCTCAGAAGCAACAAAGCCCACATGGAAGCACACCAGCCTGTGCAATCACGAGGTGTTGAAGGGATCAGGTATCAGGCCTCATCAGAACAAAAAAATCTCATCATTTTGAATGAGGGTGGGGAGTACAGAGTGGAGACCCAAAGCCCATCTGTAGGCAATTGGAGACATCCCCTTATGGAAGGGTCGTGGGGAGGAGATGAGCCAGTCAAGGCGCAGTGTAGCAACAATAAAACATACAACTTTCCTCTAGTTCCTAATTGCTTCCATTCCCTCCCCCACCCCCCAACTATCATGATCCCAATTCTACCTTGCAAGTCTGGCTAGACCAGAGGATGTACATGGATACAGATAGGAACTGGAAACAGAGGGAATACAGGAAGGATGATCCCTTCAGGACCAGTGGTGAGAGTGGTGATACCTGAAGGGGAGAGGGTGGTGGGACAGTGGGGTAGAAAGGGGAAACCGATTACAAGGATCTGCATATAACCTCCTCCCTGGGGGACCGACAACAGAAAAATGGGTGAAGGGAGATGTTGGACAGTGTGAGATATGACAAAATAATAATTTATAAATTATCAAGGGTTCATGATGGAGTGGGGATCGGGGAAGGGGGGGAAAATGAGCTAATGCCAGGGGCTTACGTGGAGAGCAAATGCTTTGAGAATGATGAGAGCAATGAATGTACAAGTGTGCTTTACACAATTGATGTATGTATGTATTGTGGTAAGAGTTGTATGAGCCCCTAATAAAATGATAATTTAAAAGGACGTGTGAGCCCCCAATAAAATGATTTTTAAAAACCAAAACAAAATAATAAAAACAACAACAACAAAAAAAGAACACAGGAGATTCTCTTCACAGCCCTTGTGACCATTGGCAAGAGAGTTGACGATCCTGTTGGTACTGTTTGTATTTGGGGACTCTGAGGTGAGTGTGAGTTCCCGTTGTGGGTAACTGTGTGACTTTGCCCTCCTGTCCTCCGTAGGCCCAGCAGCAGTAGCACAAGCAAAGGAGAGGCACGCCCCAAACGGAGGCAAGAAGCCAAAGTGCCCCTTCAGACTCTGCACATGACTTCGGAGAACCAAGAGAAAGTGAAAGCTCTTCTCCGAGACCTGCAGGAACAGGACATCGATGCTGGATCTGAGTAAATTATATCTTATCTGAGCCATTCTTTGAGCCAATTGTTAAGGAGAAGGTGTTGCTGGTTTGAAGATTCTGCACCTCCTTGAGACACTGGGCGAACACAGATCATGTTGTAGCCTCATCGTTAGTTAAAAAGAAGCCCCGAGAAACACAAGAACAGTGATTCAGTAACAGTTTTAGAGTGTGTTTATCTTGCAGCATCTTGAGCAATGATACAAATTACCTTCTCAATTTTATTTTTCAGTTATTCCTTTATATTTTAATTTTATTGTTGTTGTTTTGAAAATACACAGGAAAACATACCCCAATTTAGCTGTTTTGACATGTTCCATTTAGTGGCATTGACTACATTCTGAGTTGTTTGACCATTCTAACCTTCCTTTTCTGAGTTATTCCTCATTAACATAAGTTCACAGCTCCCCAAAGTTCCTAATTAAGCTTTCAAGTTGCTGTAGTCTATTTGAGCTAATATAGATGGTTGTTAAAAGAGCATACTGCTCACGGCAGACATTTTTTGCTACTTGAAGTGAAACTGTTTGGTTTTAAGAAGACATCAGGTGATAATTTTGGTTTAAGGTCTCAAAATTATCTCAGGGAAATAGTTTGAGGGGTTCTGCTAACATTCAAGGCTAGAAGACATCTGGACTCAATGGGAATTTGACATTCTCTTCTGAGTTTACCCCCTTTTGATCAGGAAGGATCCCTAGTGATGTAGTGGGTTGTGCACTGGGCTGCTGGCCACAGGTCAGCAGTTTAAAACCACTAGCTGTTTCTTGAGAGAAAGATGAGGCTTTCTACTCCCATAAAGAGTTACAGTCTCAGAAACCCACAGGGGCAGTCCTGCTCCAGGCGCGATGAACCAGAATCAGCCCAGTGGCAGTGAGTTTGAGTTTTTGATCAGGATTTTTCTGTAGAGTATTTTACCAAAATCCCCAGTAATCAATTTCTTCGAGTTTCATGGCACAGAGGGCAGCTGTTCACCAAGGCAATTAGCCACTTACTCCGTGGTCTTCTCTTATTCCTGCCTTGACTTTTCCCTCTCTTGTTCCAGGTGAGTAGAGACTGGTTATTGT